AAAAATGATGTATGACTGCTTAGATTCTTTAAAAAAACAAAGTGAAAAAGCTATATGAAGCAAAACTAGAAGCTATGCAGTTAAAAAAAAAGTGCCCATACTGTCTGTCTGCTGAAATTGGGATCAACGATCCTTTGAAATTGAATATCTCGATATCTAAGACTATTTGATCAACATAGGTAATGAAAATAATTTTATGATAACATAATTTGTTACAGTAATCTATGATTTTTATTTATGTTTTTTATTTTTTTTTGTGAAATCAGTGCCATTACCTAACATCAATTTTCTTCCTATTTACTAGGTGTTTGTACAAAATGAGAGAATGGTCACTTGAAGCCTACATTCGCACAACCCATTTTTCTTTCTCATCAGTAATTTGAGACAGCCCCTCTTCAGTTGTTTCATCTACTGGACTATATGACATTTCAGACACAGAAGCAACAGGAAACTTTGGTTTCTTTTGAATGATTGGTATCTCCTAAGCTAGGCTTTTTTCTTCCTTTTTTCATTTTTTTTTTAACAGTATAGCTACTTTGTTTTCATCGAAAGGACAGTGCTGGGATAAAGTCTGGTGTGTTGGATCCAAGGATGGTTTGCCTGTAAATTGAAATTATGATAAAAAAAAATTTCTACAGAAAAATGTAAAATTGCTTTTGTACTTTTTGAAATGTATAACTGCTGCCAAAACCAAATGTCAGCAATGTTGACCCTGATGTTCATAGTGTAGATGGATAGTTTGAAAGTGATTATCTGTCTCTAGAATTTGAAAAGGTGTAAAATATTAATATGTAATAAAATGTACTGACTAGATGTAAAAATAGTTTTCACCAGGCCCCAAGCTCTCCCATGATTGTTCCTGCATTTCATGGCCTGTACCATCGCTTCCATTTTTCAGGTTTCTTTTCACGATCTGGGAGTATATGAAAGGTTAAGCCTTTCTTTCCCATCATGTTGTTGTTCGAAACAATCAATGGCAACACAGCTCCTCGGCATTTTTCACGCAAAGAAACTAAATTCTCAGACTCTGTAAGCAAAGCGCAGTTAGTTTTTGAATGAATGAGGGTTTGTTTTCACCAAGTGCTCGATGCTAGGGCAGTTTCTAGGCGTTACCGAATCAGTCTATTTGCATAAGTCACAATGTGCAAAGTGAACCTTTGAATAGTGCGAAATGTGAAAATAAGAGCAGAATTGATTGATTAATCATGATGATTTTCCCGGAGCCTAACAAGTGTTTCCACTAGTTCTCCTCTTAGGTAAAAGTGGTAAGCTACTAGAAGAGTATATTGTTTTCAAGTTCTTTTATTAAGACTATGCGGTTTTGAGAGCAGAGCTCCCATTAGGAAAATATGGTGATCAGGAGGGGGTCTAGGGACAAAGCCCCTGGTGGGTAAATATGGTGATTGGGAGGGTGTCCGGGGGCGAAGCTCCCAGTAGGGAAATACGGCGATCATAAGGGGTCCGGGGGCAAGACCCCATTATAAAAATAAGGCGATTGGAAGGGGTCTGGGGTCAAAGCCCGCAGTTTAAGAAGGATTTTGGTTCACACAACGATCTTTCTGATCATTGTGTGTCTATGATAGGGTTCATTCTCTTGTTAGTTCATGCAAGGCAGTGTTGAATCTTCTGTGGCCGAATCTGTCCCAGGATTTTCTATTTTCCACATTCTTTATCATAAATGTGACTATTGGCTTGGGAATTTATTTTTCCACTTTCTTTTGCTCTTTAACATGCATGCATTGAGTGAAATCACCCCCCACCCCCACCCCTGATTTCCCACCTGATCCTCCAACATTAGGGGGGGGGGGAGTCTCTGACGGGTGCACCGTTTGAAATCACAATATATCTACAGTACACATATTCCTCTTAGAAGATAGTATTTTTCTGCAGGAAAATAGATGTGTTTGTCTTTAAAAGAATTGCCATTGATTTAGACCCGTACTTTTAAAACCTTCGCCAGTGCTGGCGTTCGCCTGGCGAAGCTTTGCCAGGTGAACCTTTGAGTGAGGGAGGCCTTACTTTTTAAACCCAACGTTCGCCAGGGTGGGCGAAGGGATCACCAGGCGCTAACATCTTGCATTCCTGCTAAATCTAGCACAAATTTGTTTACATCTGCAGTGCACATAACATAACGTAAACTTAATTATTAACCTCGAGAGAAGACGAAACTGTTGTTTCCGCAATAGTCTCACTTTTATACTATAACAAAGGAGTTAAGTTAACTTTATGCTATAACAAAGAAGTTGAAAAATTTTATACAAAATTAACTTTATACTTTATGCTATACTACACTTTATACTATAACAAGGTTAACTTTATGGCCCGTACTTTTAAAACCTTTTGCTTTTTTTCTTTTTTTTTCATTCGCCGAAGCGCTAGATTTAGCAGGAATCCAAGATATTAGCGCCTGGCGAACACCTGCCTTGGTTTTAAAAGTAAGGCTCCCTCACTCAGAAAGCCAACATTGGCAAAAGGTTTTAAAAGTACTTTATACTATACTATATCAACTTTATACTTTTATACAAAAAATAACTTTATACTTTAACAAAAGAGTTTAAAAATTACTATTTTACTATTCCTAACTGATATAAGATATTGAACTGTAGGCCTACAAGGGTATCATTAGACACCGCCTCATTATAGGGCGGTGGAGCACTACAGCTATGTTTCTATAGCCAAAAGTAAACATGCTGCCATAAAAACACTTCTGATAACATTTGTGAAAAGAACATTATCCTTACAACCAAAATAACAACAACCTGAATCTAAATAAGTCATCTCGGGGGTGGGGGTAGGGGTAGGGGGGTAGGAATACAGCTGATGTCTTGAGCTCTCGACTGGAACATCGAAGGTCTTGAAAAAAATACGTATATACGTTATTTCATAACAAATTATGATTTTAAGATATTTTAGAATTTCAATGTGATTCCTACATCATACACAATTATGTTACTAATTTATAATTTGAAAGCAAGAAAATGGTATTCAAACAGCTCTCGCGCCTTTGCTACGCCAGGCTGTTACAATATGATTTTTCGCCAGCCCTGGCGATGTTCGCCAGGCATGATTTTAGTAGTACGAAATTCCAGATCCCGGCGAAACCTTTTTATTTAAAAATACAAATACGGCCTATACAACTGATACAATGACAATAAAATTAGGGGTATAGGTTACTAAGAGCGATGTGAGGAGAGAGAGGGAAATGGACACCGCCATGTA